ATTTAAAATCATGGTTGCCCATGAAAGAGAGGGACGGTAAGAGAGAAGGAGAGAGTGAGAGAGAAAGAGGGGCAGCGAAGGAGGGAAGGCGGGGCTCCGGGAGGGCAAGGGTATTCACTGCTTTCTCCCCGCTGTGAACCACCAACCATGTCTGCTGCACAGTAGGTGCAAGGCAATAGCCAGTGTGGGGGATCAATATTTATGGAGGCCCTGCCAGGCACCAAAGTTTACATACTGCTTATCCAAGTTAACTGTCTCCTTTGAAGTCAGCATTATTATTTTCCCCAATTTATTGTTATGGATATTGCCTCAAAGTGACTTAAAGATGGCCTAGTATGAATAAGAAAAATTGTGGTAATAATCACCTGGTTTTATCTAATGTAACACAAAATGAAGAGACGACTATATGTTTACATGGGAGAAGGGCCACGTGCGTTTTCCAGACGGCTCCCCTGTTTCAGTGTGATCTGCCTTCTGGGAAACCACAAAACAACACTGGGAAAAGCAAGACCTCAATGAGAAGTAGTTTGGTAACTTTAAAATGAAAACAGAAAGCAACAGCTGCACCTACCACTACCAGCCATCACTAGCAAGGTGTCAGCCACTGAGTACTTTTCAACTAAATCGAGAAAACAATGGATTACCTTTTATATCATTTAAAATGCTTCAGCTGATCTCCAGAGGATTAAAGAAGAGATCTGCTTGTTCAGTGTACCTCAAACCCATATGCAAATGAGACTCTCCCTGCCCCACACATTTCTAGTCAAAGACCATATTTTGTTTTTAAGAAGAGTAGCATGCACAATATAACTGCAAATGAATGTCACACAAGAAATGGAGTCAGAAAATGTTAAGCTCCAGTGAAGAATCTTGGGAATTTCCAGCGGCAGTGTACAAATCACCTTCAAGTACGCTGGATTCCATTGCACGTGATTCTTGGAAGGCTGAAAATGCTCTCTCTCTGTCGCCCGGCCCCTCACCATTTTAACCTCTCCCATTTCCACCACAAGGTACACTCCTGCCACACTGCTCACTCCTTGACCTTGTGTTTCCATACGTTCGCAGAGGGATGGAGAAGAGGACTGGACAGAGAGAAGAAGGGAGTGAGATGCGTGTGTGCACACAGGGATGACAGAACTCGGAAGTTGGCCCCCAGATTTTTAAACAAAAAATAAACTCTGGGACAGAGATGGTTGTTGTTTTCTAATAGGCAGACCTTCGAGAGAGCTAGGCATAAAAGCTGTATAAATAAGACACTGGTACAGTGGCATTTATTTGCTCATTTAGTCAGCAGAAATGTACCGAGTATCTGCTCCGGTGAGGCACCAAGCTAGGTGGTAGGTATTTGGGAAAATGAAAGGCATGAGAGTTGCTTCATAGGTATGATAGGAAATTACAACCCGCTGTATGGTAAACTCTTATTTTAAAACCTAAACCCCTTAGCTAAGTGAATTCAGGGATTTAACAAATATTTATTCTGTTTTATTGACTATTTTCCTCTTGAAATATTCTTGGCTAAGTTTCATGTCGCTATGCTCTCCAGAAATTACACCTTAGACTTCTTTGCAGGATTTTCATCCTTAGCCTGTCATCTACGTGCTGGTGCTCCTTGGAGTTCTGCCTTAAGTTTTCATTGGTTTGCTCTGCATATTTCCCTGGGAGTTCTCATTGTTCATATGACTTGTAGTATCATGTATATGATATGAAAACCAGTTCTGATGACACCAAATTCGGCATGTCTAGTTCAAACTCTTCTCACTTCATATAAACCTCCTTCTCAACACTGACACCTGATGTCTCAGGGCACCCTAACTCACAATATAAATGGAACTAATCAACTTCTCATTTCACCGAATAACAACCATCTACGAGGTTTCCCAATCAAGAAACCTAAAAGTCATTCTTAACTCCTTCATTTTTACTTCCTAACAACCAGTGTTAATGTTCCATAGATTTTTATATCCTAAACTACATGAAGAAGTCACCCACCCATCCTTATGCTCTCTGCGGCTACTCAGTCCAGGTCACCGTGAGGCCGTGTGGGCCGCCTCACAAACACCTGTTTAATTGGTCTTCCTGGCTTCACTCTCAATTGCCCCCACTGATTTTACAGCCAGTAATACATTAAAAGTGAAAATTTGATCATATTGTTCCCTTGTTTCAAACCCTTGGCTCCTCTCCCACATACTAAAGGTAAAAGCCAAACTCCTTTAGGAACTCCTTCAGACCTCTGTTTACCTTACGGACTCCTATCTCGCCTCTGCTCTCTCAGTTACTACATTCCACCACCCAAAACTTCTTTCAGGTCCTTAAACATAATAATGATGCTCTCTTTTACCTCAAACCTACCATAGCCATCACATTTCCTAAACCTTTTTATTTTCGCTCCAAACCCGTCAATGCTAGCTCCTGGTTATCGTTTAAACATTGGCTTCCTTTGTGAAGCCTACTTGGATTGCCACTCTACCCCAGTTGGCACTTCTCACCTTTAACCCCCTACACGTATGCCTAACCTACCATTATTTCCACCAAACAAAGACAGATCTTGTTATATGTTCCAACAGTGACTTATGTAACCCTCTAGTAGCATTTTAAAATATTATAAAAATCTACTTAACATTCTTTTCCACTAATTCTGGTGTAAAGGACAAGAAGCTTTCCAGTGTAAGCATCTTGTCTTGGTATTCCTAGAACCTAGTACAAGGCCTTGCATAGAACTGGTGCTCAATAAATATGTGTTTAATGAGTATATGAAGCACTGTTTAGTTATAGGGAACTGGAAAAGGTTTACAGATAAATACCCATTACCCTTAAGAAGGATAACATTCAATGCAGAATGTCTGTTACATGTAATTATATGATGATAATGAGTAAATAAAATTGACTCCAATTTGGATAAATGGGGATTTGCTAGCACTGTAAATTGGAATTAAATATTTAGCTCTCCCTTCTGGAATAATCTAATCCACACTAAACACTTCTGGGAGACGGAGACGGTTTTATGATTTTATATTACAGATGAGAAAATAGGCACAGCAAAGTTAATTGAGTTACTCAGGGTTACCCCATGAACCAGAAGCAGGGACAGGACTTAAAATTCAAAGATGTTCAAAGATGTCAATCTCCAGTCCTTTGGGCTATCATTTTTTAAAAACTGCTTTGTCTTTTTCTCCCCAAAGTTATCTTGTATGACTACAGGACTTCAACCTACATATTTTAATAGATAGTCCTCTCAAGCTATCACCTGTGATCATGGTATCTGAGCGTAGCAAGTGGGGAATGTAGGCACCTTTTGACAGATTTTCCTCTGGTCTGTAACATGAAAGGTTTCCTGTGATATGTCTCTGCACTTGTGCATGCTGGGAGTGTCAGTTCCTTCTTCGATCTTAACAGAGTATTAGTGTTAGGCACTAGCTGCCTCTATAGAGTGCCAACATTGAACTTTTCTACTGTTGGACATCATAGTGGATGAAACTCTACATTTAAAATGCCCATACTTAGTTGGCTGGCACATTTTATTGCACTTGGTGGACATTTTGGTAGAAAATGCTGCCAGTACTTAATAAATATTTGAGAAGCATCATAGGCTATTAAATTTAATAGGATTACTGGTTCCAACATTCATATTGTGAGAGACATAAATGCAAAAAAAGGTTTGTGCTGCCATTTCAAAAGGCCACATATGTACCAGGTACTCGAGAAACATGTTTATATGTTGTATATTCTGGGGCCAATGGCAAACATGATGCATAACCAAAATGCCTCAAAAAGCATTTATTACCTTCCCAATATACACACTTAGTGTACATAAAACCTTTGCTTTTTTATAACAGCTGTGCTGACAATAGTTTCTCTGAGATATACAGGGTGAGTATGCACTTGAGATTTTTCCTTGCCCCAGACTAGGTCAACCAGGACTCTTTCTTTTTTTACCTGAACATAGCACAAGATGCTAAAGAATTTAATCTGTACAAAACTGTGGCTAACACAGGCCACTTTTGTTAGATATATAGATCTTCTTGATCATGTTAAGATCAATTATACAATTTTCTCTTAACAAATACAGCATCACATAGAAAAATCCCCTATTATAGAACATTTCCCTTGCTCTTTGGGCTTTGCTTAACTCATCCTTCATTTGAGAGAGCAAATATCTTTACCCCTAAAGCATTCAAGCCTGCTTATTGTATCTCTGCCTAGCCCTGCCTCATGTCTCCAGGCCCAAGAAGAACTTTAAATGTCCAAAGTATTTTCTGTTCTTAGTCCACGATGTTGACGTTAAGTGAATTGGTGCTGTCATGTGGGTATAACTCATTATGTTTCCCCTAATAAAGAGAGACACTTGAGTTACCCATTTGTAAGTCAGCCCAATGTAAAAGAAAGAGAACTTCTTGTCAGATGCCAAGTTAACATCAATTGCTCATTCCTTGGAAATGTCAATTAAAATTCTAGTGCAACCTTTCAAACACAATTTCCCAATCCAGGAAATGTGGATAAATCCATAGTGAACTGAGAGGCATACAGGGTAAGTCTTAAGGTCCACATATGTGTTAATATTTGGGGTTGGTCTCTGGTAGATGACATTCATAGGGTCAGAATACTTTTAACTTTCACTTGACTATGTAGATGCCATGAATTCATCCTCATTCCTCAGCCCTGTTTTGAGGGAAATGACATCGCAAAGATGTTGCTTTCATTTCCTAATGTGCAGTTCCTATGAAGTTATACCAAGGAATAAAGGTTTCTTTCACAAGCAGCATGAAGGCTGAGTTGGCTTCTTGCTTTAGGAGAATATAAATGCTCTTAAACACTTCTACAGGAAACAAATTCCAATGTGGGCTTTAAAGTTCTGATGTATATTGTATATTTTTACTTCATTTGCCACACTGGTCTGACTGGGACAATATTAAAGGCTAACAGAGCAAAAAAAAAAAAAAGAAAGAAAAAAAAAAAAGGTTTTTATCCCCAGGATACCTGCCCTGTAGGAGAATTTAGTTTACCTGCAGAGATTCCATTTCTTCATCTTTTCTGTGGCTCTCCTCAAGCAGATCTACAATAAGAAAGTAAAATACCCATCAAAATACGTACGATGTAAAAATTGGTTGTATCTTATTATCAAACCCAATTCGGTCCATGGCTTGTATAAACTGTTGCCTGGAAGTAGAATTTGATGTTCAAGTGTGAGAAGCAATGTGAATACAATGCCTCTCATTTCAGCAGATGAGATGTGGCAGAGCTGTGGGCCCTGCCAAACCTACACTAGCTGAGAAACCCTGGGAGGTCCTAGCTCTGGTAGAGATACCAGAGAAGTAGACCAACTCAATTACAAATCCAAAATCACACCAGCATTTTAGAAATTTGGGCCAGTGCTTATAAAACTCAAAAGTAACACAAAATTTCCCTTCAAAGAAAAATCAAAAAACAACCATTTTTCTTTTGAAAGAAAAATTAGAAACAAACCATGTGCTCTTAAACACCCAAGCCAAGTTCCACCTCCAGCGTCAGTTTTTGTAACCAAATTAAAATGCCCTGGAATAATGGGTGTTATTAATGGAAGTAGAACACCACCTGAACTGTAGTCACATTAATTATCATTTCACACCAAAAGGGTGGGAAGCATTGAAGCTGTATCTGACCAAGAGTTTGGCACCATCTCAGAGAACTCAGGGGCTGCAAGGGGAGGTAGTCAGCTGAAGAGAGTTCTGTCTAAATGCCTGCGCATAGCCGTGGTATCTTGGGGCCCTACATTAATTTATGGACTTGCTGTAAAAATATCTATGCATATATTTGGCAAGTAGGATTTTCTGCCTGCAGCTATACCACCCTGTGCTATGATCTTATTAGATCTCACAAACCTAAAGAGGGCCGGGCTGAGTCAGAACTTGGATGACAGCGGGCAATAAACACCTACCGCAGTGCACATTCATATTAGCATTTGCCTTTCTCTGTGAGTGATATGGCCTCCCAAGCGGCTGTGCTGCATAAAAGGAAAACATAACTTACAGAAATCGTGTGTGTGTGTATTTCCGCCCCCCCCCCCCATTCCAGGAAGGCAAATACAAATGTTTTTAGCAAGTGCTACACTAGATGTAGCAGGAAGCAATAACATAATGGAAAGCCAAGTCATGCTTGTATATGTCACAGCTCGGTGGGCAATACACTGAAACTTCAGGAGACCTGGTAGATGATATAATTGATGGCAATGGCACCTTGAGACTGGAAGGCAAGCAGTCCTCTCCAGACACAATGCATTGGAATTGAGGATAAGAGGTAGTTTAGCTCTGTATCCCATGGGGAGCTGACTTTTGCTCTCAGACCTCTCATAATCAGTTATGTCAACAAAGTTAAAGAAGCATGGAAATGCATGTGAGTGGATTTTTAAAAGGGTTTTTGGTGGGCATATAAGGTTCTTTAGCTGTATGGTACAGAAACCAAAGTAGGTGTGGTAGATTAAGTGCCGTCAATCTTTCTTCTCCTTGCGTCCCTACTCATTTGCATTGTGACATTGTAGCTACTTCCATGAAAGGGTCTGCAAACACTACGTTCCACAGGTCCCATCTAGGCTGCTTCCGGACTTGATTCTGTAAACAGAGTACAGCAAAAGCAACCTTGTGCCAGTCTGCGTGGAGGACTCAAGAGGCCTCCTACATTTTCACTTTCCACTTAGAACTCTGTCAACCTCCCTCTGAACGAACCCAGCCCAGCTTGTGGAGATGACAAGAGACACGTGGTCCGGGACTTCTCCCACCCTTGACACCTTGCAGGTTGCCCCCACTGGCAGCCAGCAAATGCCCAGAAGCAGAGCTGCCCGGCTGAGCTGAAGATGACCACAGATGACACAGGTGGGAGCCAGCTGAGCCCAGTGCCAACTCCAGCTCATAGAATCAAGACCTAAATAAATGGAATTGGGAGACTGTTTGGTACCTAGCACTTGCTAATTGATAGCAACCAGTTGCTAACTAAACAAAAAGCCTTTGGAGTAACGAATAGAGACGTGGGAAAAGGGGATCCAGCTCAGGAGAGACTAACAACTGGCCTAGATGAGTAGGGATGCAGAGGGCATGAACTAACAGGCATTTGACCCTGGGCGCCTCTAATCTTTATGTGACTCCACTCAAGATGGAATTCCCTAAAGAGAAGAACTAATGAGCCCAGGTTAGCTCTCCTGCCTATTGCTTGGCTCGGGGAAATCATGGAGTGCGTTCACTGATAATCCCAAAAGGATTTCATGAAGAACACAAAGACCAGTTTCCAAAGGCAAAATCAGGGTACTGTTAACAGAAGGCAGGATGGACAGGCCAAAGCAACAGATGCCGACTCCAACTGGTTTCAGTAAATTATGTCTTCAACCCACCTGTTTCCAACGTTTGTAAGATCACTATTCTGTTCCTACACAATGTAGCCATTTTGCTACAGTACTTGAGGATATTAGGTGGTTCTCAGAGCTGGGCCCCTTGTTCAAATCGCACTGTTTAATGGTACAATGGAACTGGAGTGATGGATACTGGAGTCCATCAACCATCAAAGGAAACTGATCTTACTCCTCCGAAGTCAACTTGGTATACCAGATATCCCACACCTTAGCTAAAACTGACTGGACAAATCATGGACATTGGCTCACTTATATAGCCAGACTCAACTCACACATCTGATAAAATATAGATGTGAAGTTCAGTTTACCTTCAGAAGTTCATAGAATTGTTGCAATTCAAAATTATGTTCCCAGTTTTCTCCAAATACATAAAGGTCATGTTGCTCTTCCAACAAAGCTGACACCAATAGCAACACTTGATTTTGGATGGCTGAACAAAAACAGCCACAAAAGAATTCTTACAATTGGTATTTAAAATATAGAACCCCCTCCTCTTCATTGCCACTGGCCGTCATCCCAGCTTATATCAAGAGTAGACGTGGACATCTGTGTTTATTTTTTTTTCTCTATGCCACATCCCTTCCCTGTGAGAACTTCTTGTTCCTTTCCTTCATGAGATTCCTGTGAAACATTCAGTCAAGGGGTCCAATGAACCTCTTCTGCCACAAAAGTAGGTCATGGCCCAGGCTGGTCAGTCAGAGCACCCTACCTCCCAGTGCACATAAACTAAGCAATGCCAGCAGGTACTCAGGTACCCTGATGGAAACTGAGAGAATCCCTCTCCTTCTGAAGCTGCAAGCTTATAGTTGCCTGTATATTCTATGATGTAAAAGAAACCTGTACAAGAATGAAACCAGCAAAGAATAAAGCAGAGCCAGGAGACAGAGAGATTGGTTGAGGACAAGATCACTCCTGCCTGAATTAAGCACACCTAGCTGCTGGACTTGTAACACCTTATTTTCTTTTACTTAAACTAGCGTTAGTTGGATTGCTGTCATTGTTAAAAGTTTCTGGGGATGTGGTATTATTGAACTATTTTCTCTCTATTCAGAAACTTGGAGAACTTACAGTGGGCAAGAGCTTTCTATATTATAGTGAAACGTTTCATTCCACAGTAAATAGACAAGGACATGCAGCTCAAAGGAGGCAAATGGTTTGTCTGAGATTACCCAAATACTGCCAGGGCCCAGCCAGAGCTTTGCCCCTCTATCTTCCTGCTCCATCTGTTATGTCATGCTCTCGTTGTACCACTCAGGACTTAATTGTACTCTTTCCTATACTGTTATTCTAAAAAATGCACACGTTTGTATTCCTCTCACTTCCTTTAGGAGTTCTCTGATGTCAAGTACCCTCCTTAACTACTATTTTTCTAGCACTGCTGCTTGGTTTTCAGCCCCAAAATTGCCTCGTCTGTCTATATCACTGCTCTGTGCAATTGCTCACTTCTTAGGTGTATTGTTAAGTACATACATTTGGAATGATAAAGAGTTATTAACCTGTGCTGATGAAATATGGCTACTGGGCATTGCTGAGAAGTGACTACTCTACTGCAAACAGACACATGATGAGAGAATATGGATGAAACCTCTAGACAGCTGAAGTGACATAATGCTTTGACAACAACTGAGTGTGATTAGTGCACCTCGTTATAACAAGCAATCTTGTTTGTTCTTGACCAACTTCAGAACAAAATGATCAGCATGGAAAAGCTAAAGGGCCGCACTGCTCCCTTGCACACCACTGGCATGTTCATATTTTGCTTTATTATTTTCTGGTTTGCTGTTCAATACAAACAGCAATTCAGCTGCCATGCAAATTGCTGTGGCTAAATGTGCTTCCATCAACATTAGTTAATGAAAGATTTTTTTTTTTTTTTTTTTTTTTGGTGAAAAAGGCAGCAGCCCTGTGTACTTTCCTTGGACTGACTCCAACTCTTTAAAGAGCTGATACTGACTCATTATAATACATAGTCATTAAGAGGGAGGGGGAAATCCCATTTTAAAGAGGACACCATGAATGAGAATTGGAGAGTCAATTTATTTTGTTTTTCTTCCACTTTGCATTTCTCTGGAACACTCAGGATAATAGATCATGACCATGTTTTTGGCTAAGACAGTCTTGTACAGCTTCTTTGCAGTCTTTAGAGCTAGTGGTCTGGCTGTTCAAACAAGGTTTGCCACTTTTTCTGTGTGTTGATTCTGGTTCCTGGTAGCCAAGGGACCGAAGAGGTTATTGGTGAGTTGATTTACTTTTAAAAGGAGAATCGTGTCCAGGTGGGCAAGAGCAACATACCCATCTAGGAATTCGACCCCTCACAGAAAGGTTGGAGATTAAGTTTAGAAATGTTTCTTTTACCCTCATTTAATCTTTATGATTAAACAAATCTCATCCAAGCCCCTGGCTGAGTAGCTCAGTTGGTTAGTGTCCTGATACGCCAAGGTTTTAGGTTCAATCCCCAGTCAGGGCACACAAGAAGCAACCAATGAATGCATAAATAAGTGGAATAACAAATCGATATTTTTCTCTCTTTCTCTGTCTCTCCCTCCCTAAATTCAATAAATAAAAAAACAATATATCATCCATACTATAAATCAACCAATCTGGTAACAAAGAGAGAAAATTATAGAAATGGGACTTCAAGCACAGCAACATTTGTAAAAACAGCACTGGACAGGGGA